GCTGCCTGCCGAGCCTACGAGGAGCGGCATCGCTGGAGGGTGGTTTAAAGGCGACTACAGCACCTGCAAGGTAGCAATGGCCACAGCCCAGCCTCCAGCAGCGGACGGTGCCATCCCTGCGAAGGATCGCTGCTCTGCACGGCCGCAGGCTTTTGTTTTGCAGGACAGGCTCCAGGAGGTTTTGCAGCCAATGCTCGTTTCCAGGCTGTGCAGCTACCCAGCTACCTGAAATGGCTGTGTCAAAAGCCAGCGCAAAGTTGTTTATATACACATCCCAGTACAAGCCGTGCTACATTAAATTAGTGCCCTAAGCTCTATTACCTGAAAAAAAGTCATCCCAGGTTAAATGCTGGTTAGAGCCTGTCTTATATAAAGCTAAGCCAATTACTTAGACTGGAAGACTACTCTTAACATACGAAGGCTATTCCTAAGAAAATCCAAGCCAACACCCAGAGTTTGGAGTGACACATTCAAATGTTACATGTATGGAAAAGGAAGTTTGCTGCTCAGCCTCACTGCCGTTGCCCCACACACACCGATGCAGTTTTTTGGCACCCGGTCACACATTATCTGGGGCCAGCCAGGGTCACCATGAGAAGGTTCTTTGTCCAATACTGGCCTTAAACAATTGCATAGGAAACTCAGAGTTATTGGCAAAGTACGTTGCTTTCTGTATAAGTAGTCTTTATTTTGCTATTTTGTCCTAACATGAAAGTCCCTCTAAGGAATTAATTTTAGTAATAACTAGCAATAACTTCCTGGTTTTTGATATTTTAAAGAGAACACTTGCAGTGACTCTCATGTAGCATTTTCAATTTGCTACTAAAAAGAGGAAAAAAAACCCCGTAACCGGAGCACTTTTAGCTACCAAGTAAATTCAGAACACCATTACCTTGGAAAATTGAATTTTTTTTCTAATGTCCCCAAAAGAAATAGAATTGGCTTATGGTGACTTCATTGCCTAGTATCATCAAATAACGTGCTACCTTAACGGACAGTACAAAGTGGCAAAGATTAACTGTGTTTCTTCCTCACCGGCAAAAAAAATATTAAATTTTATCTGTGATCTTCCTGTGTTCTACCATTTAAAAGGTGTCCTCATATATTCAAAACCTTACTGAGAACCTTTTGCCACAGATTATTAACCATTTAGTTGCCCCTTTTGAAGACTGTAATAATTTAGTCTGAAATTTCACTATCAACATTGGACGTTTCTCACTCTCACTGATTATTATTAATAATCAGATTATTATGAAAATCTACCCGTGAAGCAGCATCTGAACCCAGGTGAAAAATAATTGAATTTTTTCTTATTGATGACAGTAGTACCAATGCAACCTCATTAAGAAGGGGAACATTCAGTCAAGGAGTTTCCATCCTTGGACATTCTCACCAGGGTTTTCAGTGAGAACTTCACATTTTTGCAATTCAGTTTTTATTCCTTTTTTTCTGTCATTGCAAGGCTGCAGCAATCACATTTTAGTGCACAACTGAAAACAGAGGAGCTGAGGAGCTTCCCTAAGCAGGGAGACCAGACCCCTTGCTTTCACAGCCAGCATCTATTACTGGATGCTTTACAGAGAAATACTAGGGGAATTTCCCTCCCCTGCTCCCCCTTCCAGTACCTTTTTCCAGTTCTGCAGACCTTTAGGACTGCCGTAAGCCAGAAAATGAGAATTTTTCCCCATGGGTGAAAAAATCCCTAAAAAACAACGAAAAACACCCTCTCATCTTTTTCAAATTATTAACAGGCGTTTCTGGAGGTGTGTGGTGTGTGTGTACATATTTAGCCCTACCCAGATTTTGAATACAAAAATATAGTTTAGCAATGAGAAATTTAATTGTTCACTGTGTAAAAATGTTTCTTTTTATGGATTTTAAATTCTTGAGCCCTCATTTTAGTGCTTCTTGTAGTACAATGATAAAAAGTCAACTGAAGTATCCACCTTTATTTTTTTTAATAAATGGTGAATTACTTTATGCATCTCTACTGAATTTATGAAAGAAAACAACTGATGTCAGTACCTGCCTATGACTGGCAGAAAACAATTTGCTGGTTCCTAGATGATACCTCTAATCGATCATCCTTTAACTGAAAGATGGCATTACACCTACCTTGATTTTCTGCTCAATGCCAACATGGCTACCACAGAGGTTTTTTTCTTCATGTACCAGTAAAAGTAAACCTGCTTTCTGTTCTTTTATTACTATTATTATTATTTTCAGGTGTTTCCAGGCTTCTCTTTTTCCCACATCTGCACATTCCTTTTTTTTTGTTTTTATAGCCCAACAGAAGGAAACACGCTAAAAGCAAGACGTCAGTCATGAAAATCAAAGGGAAACAAGTGATACAGCGTCGTAGCATGAGCCACCCCAAAGGCACGCATAGAGAGTGTGGAATTGAAGAGTAGCCGTGAATCACTGCCACTCAAAATGAAATACAACTCCTAAGACACCCTAAACAGTAAACATTTTCTGTATTTATCATTAATTTTACTTTTTAGATAATGAGTCTTCTTAAAAACCGAAAGTATCTGAACATGCCTAAAAGATAATATTTAGTGGAACATATTTGCGTGAGTTAGACTAATTTACTATTTACATTTTGAAAGATATAGTAAGGTAAAACCCAGTTATGAAGAAAAAAGGAAGGAAAGCATAACTGAGACTGAGAAACTAGAATAAACACAAAGTTGTAATAGATTAGTCTGGCTCTGTATTTACCAGAGCCCTAAACACACACATTCCTGGTTCCTACTGCACCACACATGATGGAGGTGCAGGTGTAACTAGGGAAGAGAAAACGGTTCTGAAAACAAGTCTTCTACCCTGTAGGTGCTGGGATGCTGGAGATAGCACATGTGTGCTTTTAGCAAGCAAACAACTGTTTGTTCATGAAACACCAAGGCTGATTTCTTTTGTAGTAGGACTCAGATGGACATGTGCCAACACCTGCTCAGGGAGCAGCTACAGCCCAGCACCTGCTCTGCTTTGGACATACACCTTGGGTAACATTCATGATGCCCAACTCAGCCTCCCCCAACCTGACTGATCTAACTGCTTGCTCTATAGTTATCCCTTCTCTAAAGGAATTGGGGCACATTTAAAATATGTTTTGATACATACATGTTCCCATGATTTTAAAAATACAATCAATTCACAGATCGCATATATGTTTAGTTTTGGGGTTTTTTGTTTTGGTGGTTGTTTTTTTTTT